GTTTGTGTTCGTACCAGTTAATCAACGCCCACATCATTGGTGGTCCTGCATAGACACGACTAGGTCAACGCTTGACATGGTTTATGACACCATCAATGAAGCTTGACATCCATTTGTAGTGAAACAGGGACAGCCACGTACCCCCTTTGTGATTTTCTCTGTCTTAGCCGCCACCTAAGCTCTTTTTGTATATGCTGTGACCCCACTGTGGGGAAATATGACTTGATTATATGCATGTGTACGCCTTATTTTCATATACCTTAATAAAGAATTTATTTAAAAAAATAAAATAATATCCACCGCTAAGGAGGTTGAATATCAACGGTCGGCACAGAGGTGTGATGCAAAAGAAACTGCTGGAGTGTAGTCAATCGCAGTAGTAAGGACAACTGTGGTGATATGGTTCACGTCCCTCCAGAACGGTTGTGGAGTCCCAGTCCTACTATATATGAAGTGTTGTCCCTTTCTCCTGCAAGCAACGCCAATAGAGATTGATTATGTTAATAATCTTATGTAAAAGAACTGGTGTGCTGTACCAGCAAGTCCGCAATTTTTATCCTGTTTCCTGCACATTACGGGAGCGCTTGTGTAATCTAGTATAGATTATTTCCCTCATCTTCTGTGCATTGAACCCCCAGTTCCCGTTCCCAAGTCCTGCATGCTGAATCTGTGGTAGGTGCACAGCCGTGAAACAAGAGCCAGTATAAGCACGAGATAAGATGGTGCTGAGGGGAGGATTGGAGAGACAAGACTCCAAAGGAGTAGAAGTCTGGAGAAAGATAGTCTAAACTTGGGGTCATTCAAGTAGTGCTGAATTTGAAGACCAAAGTGGGAATTTCTTAGGGATGGAGTCACCCCGCAGATCACAAGGCTCACGGAATTTACCTTTACCAAAAAAAACTGGCCACCGTAAACTTGTTGTGAAGACCAGCACCCTCTCTAGAAACACGTTCCATGCCAGGAGGAAAAGCTGGGTTCATGAGAATAGGGGTTAATGGAGATGGAAGAATCCCTACATTCAGACCTAAAACCATTTAAGGTAGCTCCAAGTAGTGGGTGTGCTAACACTGATTTAGTACTATAATCAGCACGTAGCTAAGGGAAGGATGCCAGGGAGAAAAGCAGCCAGGACTGTTCCAGAGAGATCCAGTCTTTCGTCGAGTGTAAGTTCCAGTCCACTATCTTAACATGCTGTGAAGCCCAATGTGGTAGGCCAATATATGTGGTAGGCCAATCCCACCCATACTTTTAGGTCTCAATAAAGTAAGCAGACTAGCCCTAGCAGTCGTCTTGCCCCAGATAAAAGAACGGAAGAGCGATTGAACAGAGGCAAAGATAGATACTGATGAAGAGATAGGGTCTGTTTGCTTATTACGTATAGCAGTTGTGGAAGGATGTTCATTTTCAGCCCCGCTGCCTGACCGAACCATGAAAGATAGGGTTTGTCCCAGGAGAGCAAGTCCTGACAGAGAAGCCATAAAAGTCACAGATAGTTGCCGGAATAAAGGTCCACTAATTTTGATGGCAGATGAATACCCAGATAATTTAGGCAGTCCCCTTTACAAACAAATAAAACATTTACCTGACAGCGTGCAAAGGTAAGGTAACATTCAAAGCAGATGATTTGGAGTAGTTGATTTTAATGTTTGAAATGGATTGAAACCTTCTAGTTCGCTCAGTAAGTTAGCTGATATGTTAGCTCAGTAAGGGTTATATTTGACTCTGGTAGGAAAAGAAATATATTGTTGGCAAAAGCCGCTAATTTTGAGTTCCTTTCCATCGTCCGTAAGCCTCAGATATCGGGGTTTGCCCTAAAGCAATGTAAAAAGGGTTCAACTGTTAATATGAAGATTAAGGGGTAAAAGGGGCAACCCTGTCTTGTGCCATGGGTAATCCGAAAAGGCATCTGATAGGTGGCCATTTACCTTGACTCTTGCAGAAGGTGTCAAGTAAAGGGATATGATTTTGGAGCGCATGTTATCCCTAAGGCCCAGCGTGCTAAGTACAGCTTCCATATTATCCCAGGCCACTCTATTAAACACCTTCTCAGCATCCACAAACAGGAAAACACCCTCATACTTTGTGGGGAGCTAATGATGGAGATTCAGGGCCTTGTCCTGGGCTTCCCTGCCTGGAACGAAGCCCACTTGGTAGACAGACACAAATGACAGCAGGTAAGGAAAGAACGATTAGCTAGGATGTTGGCAAATAATTTCACATCTACATTTAATAGTGAGATTGGATGGTAATTCAAAACGCGGCTTACATCCCGACCCCCCTTGGTGATCACCTTAATGTGTGCTTCTAAATCATGAAAGATTTAAACAGATATGCTAGTGTTTGTGTGAAGATATGTTTTATTGATTTTCTAGTTAATACCTAACTGGATTCAATTGTGTTTCTTATATATGAATGCCACTTCGCTTTAAAGTTTTCCTTTAAATTTTGTTGTCATGCTTTTATTGAAATGCCTAATTCATATATCTAAGATTGTATCTCCTTTCTCTGCAGACTGATGCACAGTACGCGACTTCTGTGGCTGAAAACATAAAAAGCATGTAAGTTTCATTCTTTTATGTCTCCACGCTGCTGCATTTATGATTCAGCTTTAGAATCAGCCACGCATGCTTTGTTATTTCTAAACACAAGACTGGCTCCAAGTTTGGAATATGATTTGGAAAACATTAGCGGGAGGGTAGCAGAGGTGTAATTTCAGGATGGTGAGGGTGGAAGCGAGCAGAAATTAGAACATATACCTTGCGAAGGTGGATATTTCTTGTCAGTGTCCTTGAAATGTTAGTGAAACAGTTATAAAATCTTGGCATGAGTTTGTCATTTTAATTTATGTGTTTGGTGTGCTGCTTCCAGCAGTCTCGATTAGAATTAAAAATGCAGTGAATGGATTAGGTGGAAATATCTGAACACGATTAATAGACCGTAGTACAGAATAAATCATATATTAGAAAATTAAAGTGTACGTTTACCTTTGGAGCGCAAAAAAAAAATTAAAAAAACATAGATGCATCACAAGTGATAATTCATTTTGCTTTGCTGCATACTTAATTTCCTATATATCTTGTTCTTCTGAGCATTCTTGGGCATTTACAGTTTTAAAAAAAATAATTTTGTTGATCTGTGGTAAGAAATTAAGCAAACCAGCCATTGGAAATTTTTTTATTTTTGTAAAGAATTGTAAAAACAATGTGAGCATACAAATGCAGGCACCTTACGATGGCAGTACATACCTTGAGTTTTTCTGTATGGGCTTCTGGAATGCAAGTGGCCTTATCCTAGGCAAACACTAATGTAGAGGATAAAGTGCAAATAGGGGCCGTGTGTGGCGGTGTCATAGAAGGTGCAAATGCCTTATGCTGCTTTACCGCAGAAGACGGAGGAAGACATATCCCATAGAGGACTATGTGGCTCTACTGTCAAGGCGGGGCCAAGAACGAGAGGACTTCTGCGTGGGATGTAAACAAAGCCCTGGCATTAGATCTCAGTAAGTATGGAGGGGAAGGGTGGGATCTGTTAGCTTAGGTGAGGGGGCAAAAAGAAAAGGTGTGCTTTCTCTGAAATGCACTTATTCTTTAAGGTGTATTTCCACTTTTACAGTCAAATTTAAGAAAACCCCTCTATGTGTTTATTTTCCTATCCACACAGCATACAGGAAAATAATTAAAAAAAAAAATTCTTACCTTTTTAGATGGGTTGCAGCAGGCAATATAGCCTAAACCATTTTTTAAAGCACCTTCACAGTGATCTGTCCTTATAGAAAAATTTAGGAATGCAATTTGAGGATTGTTTTTCTCTCATTAACTCCCTAAATTAACAAGCCAGGGTTGTAATCATTTAACCCCTCACAGTCCCTCCCAACATTACAAAGAAGAGAAGCAAGAATAAATGTTAACCCTTATAAAGCCAAGAAATCCTAACCCAAGTAAAAGAATTTAAACTGCAAGAAACCTTTTAATTTTTGTTTTAGCTTATCCTATGTGAATGGGAACATAGAACAAATACAAAATATGTGTTATCCCAATTTGGCTGCGAAAGTGAAAATATACTTTAAGTGCTACAGTGCTCCACTGAGTGTAATATTGACACAGGGAGGTCAAAGATCTCTTCAGGGAATATGGGCATCACTGCTGCTTCCCTCAGCACTCAACTCCAATCAGATGTAGCTTTAAAGAAGCTTACTGCTCTCACGCATATCAGCCGCTGCAGACATTTGCATTCCTTTTCACACTTTGCAGTGTGAATGGGTCATCATGTCATCACAAAATTAATTGTACTTCGTCTTGTAGATTGCCCAGTACAGTACAAAATTGTTAAATTAGCCTGGCTGTTGGTAAGCCTTACCTTGATACTAAAAAGTGCATTAAAGTACAACTGTACCTATGTACAACTGTCCTTTAGTAAATTCCCCTTACGCTGCTGAGTGTAGAACAAATACCTTTAACCCTGATCCAGTGATCTTCACTGTGTGGCCTCACCTGCAGCCACGTAGCCTTTTTCCCAAAAGCAGCTGCATTATGCTGTGCATGCATAACACAGCCCTGTTCATTCCTGTGGAAAAGCTGTACTAACTGGCCACTTGGAGTATGGCCTTCTCAGGAATAAATGGGGCAGCAGGGTGTATGCAGTACTAAGCGGCTGTTTTTGGGAGAAAGCATAGGGGCTTTAGTTCAATCTTATTTTATTAAACAACATTTTTGAAAACGTACAAAACTCACATACAAACAAAAGCAAAAAGTACAACAACGATAAGAGAACAAAAGACATACTATAAACAAGACCGTGCCACAAAGTAGTGTACAATAAAAGTCTCAAACTGTTGAAGGGAAGTCAGCAGCCCATCTGCAAAAGTGGGGCGCAAATGACTACAGGCAATAGGAATGTACCCACAACAAAAAGAACAAGGGAGAGTATAGTGGGACACAAGGCTGAACCTATCCCAATGAACAACGCAGGACGTGGAGGAAATTATGTGTACACTACCAGGCAACCTGAGCAAGATAAAAGTTATGCAGATAGAGAGCTGAAAAATATTAGAAAGAGAAACAAAAAACAAAATATTAGAAAGAGAAACCAGAAAAAGATAAGAGAACATGAGATATGATAAGAGAGAGAGATTTTTTAAAAAAAGAGGGGGGTGGGGGGGGGGCTAGGGGGAGGGAAGGAATAAAGAAAGAGAAGAGAAAGGGGAAAGAAAAAATAGAGACCAGGAAAAAGCAAAGTAATTGAGGACCAGATGTAGCTTCCCAAGTGCCCACAGTCATAACCCCACACACAGATCACAGAGGTCAGAAGATTTACAAAATATGGTCCAAGAAGACCACATGATTAAATGTTCATCTCCACAGTCATGCTCTAGCGCCAATAGCCTTTCAAGGTCTTCAATACGATCCATCTCTACCACCCACTCAGCCAATGTAGGCGGAATAGTAGAACGTCAGTAGCACTATATAACAGCACGGGCCGCAGTAAGATAATGTTGAAGGCCTAAGGGCTTTAAACACAGTAAAGATCACTGGATGGGGCTGAAGGTATTTGCCCTAGTGGAATGCATTTAGAGAGGTTGGGGGGATTTATTAAAGAGCATTTGTACAAAGGAAACATGTTGTGAAAAAAGGCACGTAGTTCTCCACTGCTAACATTTATGTCTGAAAATTCTAGTTGCTTGACATATCAACAGCCTCACATAGAAAATTAGACTTGTTAAGCATATATTTAAAATACATCTATAAGAGCACTTGGGTTACCGTCTCCTGGTATACAAGCGATTACAACACTTTGAAATATGTAGACAAGCAATATTTCCAGAGGGATAATGGAGAATCATCCGACAACACCACCCTAAACGGGTGATGGTTAACATAGTGATGTAGTCATATTTAGGAAACAAATATCAATGACCATGTGGAAGGTGGACAGTTCTAGAAGAGAAGGGAAGAGTGGGAGAGTTGTAGCGACAACAGATAGAGAAGATAAGGAGGGGGATACACCTGCTCCCTGATGCCTGTGAGAAGGATGATACCTCGCAGTTATGAACCTTACCCAAAGAAGTCAGGTGGCTTTCAGTCAAGAAATGTAAAGTTTAATTTAAAAATGATTATGGAAGAAGAATGTGTTATGAAACCTAATTTCCATTTAATAAAGAAACTATTAGAACAAACCCATAGAGGGATTATATGGTTTAGCTGTGGGGTTAAGTGAAGAGGATGACAAATATTGTAGAGCTGGTAGTGAATTAGCCAGTCTTCAATATGAGAATATGCGCTAGTATTTTATTCCTGTAATCCTATTCACATTTTATCCCATGACCTATACGTTTAATCTTCATGAGACTTTCTTGAGCTTTTTATGCAGGGAGAATATAGCAGGAGCTTTCATTTTTTATCTCATGTGGCCGAGCACATGTTTTATGCAGACATTCGCTTTGTCCTATGAATACAGCCACCAAGAATAATCAGCCTTTCGAATAAAAAAAATAACAAGATAAACATGAAAAGCCCATTAGGGACCTCCATTTATTAGTGCACCGCGCACCCATTTGTGCGCACATATACAGATGGCACAGTCCAGGGCTCTATAATTTATCTGGCCCAGTGTCTCTTAGCTTCTGAGAATGCAGTATATGAGTTCAGAAAGTTGACGGGGTTGCAGTTTTTAAAAAGACCCCTTTTAAAAAGCAAAACTTCTGGAGCTTGCCTGTACATAGGCATAGCAGTCTTCCAAACCTAGTCAAGGCCAAATCCCAGGCTGTTCTGACAGTTAAAGTTATGGCACTTCTTGATAGTGATTGAAGTAAATGTCTACTAAGAGAATGTGGAGCCTTCCAATGCTGACCTCTCCTTCTGAAAATGCTGGTTGTTTGACCAGCTTGTTTATCCCATGAATTTAATGCTTGCTGAGTCAAGTGTTTTGACTTGTGTATCTGCTTGCTTTTTCTGTGTTGGTGATTTAGACCTCCCTCATTCACTGTGCTTAGAAAATTAATAGATGATGAACACCCATTAACGTGCCTGTAGCTAACCCGCCTTTAAGAAGCGTTTTAGATGTGTTTTTGATACGTTTAGGGTACATTAAGTAACGCTTGCCAAATGCCCTCTCTGTGTTCGTTTTAAAAATTTTTTAAATGGAGGAGATGATGTAGATGAACTGGCTGCCACTGGTACTGGCTGTGCAAGCACTGGTTCTGGCTGACCGTGTTCTTGTTTTACCCACTTCTGCAGGCCGCCGTCTATAGACATACTGCGGCCCGGAAGTGGTTAAAGTGACATTAAAGTAAATGTTTTCTCCCTCCCCCCAATGTAAATGCCAGCACTTACCTTAACTGATGTCTCTTATCCGATCTTCTTCTTTCCTGATGTTTTCATCTGTCCGATCCAGCGCTGACTCCTCTTTAGTTGCTGGCACTTCCTGTCCCAGGGTGTCTGTACGCGTCCATAGACTTACCTTGTGTCTCTCCTCATCTCCCGGCCGAAAATCCGAACTGCGCATGCGCCCGCCCCCAGATGCTTTGCGGCCGCCTGAGCAGTTTCGAATTTTTGAACGGGAG